TTCTTTGGGGGTACGGGGGATACTAAAGATGCTGCATGAGCCTAAGTGCCTTATACCTTGAGAGTTATAGTACCATGGTATAGCAAAGGCATGCAGGATTGCTAGCACCATTAAAGCCTGCGTTGCAGCTTTTGGGGGGTAAGATATCACTTTTTGGCATTTGGGCCCTCAAGGTACGAGTGGTTTAGGCCTAGTTTCAAAAAATCAGGAACCCTAAACCCCAAACCTCAGTATGGACTAAGGTCCTATCATCATTCAAATGTGGGGTTCATTGTAGGGCTTGAGATCCATAGGGTGCAGGGTTTAGGATTTCGGTATCCAGCAAGTCTGGGTTCTCAACCTCCCTCGGATGCACCTGGACAGATCGCTCAACTCCGTGAACTGGATCTTTCTTTCTGGCAGCCGTTTTCAAGAGCTTCCCGGTGTGCTCCCTTTGGTGCTAGCACGTTGACTTTTCCAAGTGCTGACCCAGTGCGGGAACTAATCGGTATCATATACCCCTAAACCCTAAACCCAAAAATCATAGGCCCTACTCTTGAGAGGTGTCTTTTCTGCTCCATACTTTCTAAAGGCTTTGCGTGGGACTCCAGATATCCTCAAACAGGTATCTATAGACTCATTGAAAATACTAGTGCTGCGCATGTAAGGTAAAAAGACCTATTTGCATTTTGGAAAGCGAGAGCTTCTCTGAAAAGAGTGGCCACTAGGGACCCGGGGGACGCAGGGGTATGTACGATACAATAGCATCTTGACAACCCCCCAAAGTGCTGACAAACAACTCTGCAAACCAGGACACTCAACCGCAGGCATAACCCTAAACCCTAATCACACCCCTATAACATTCAGTCATAACCCTACACCCTACACCCCTGGAGCATTTAGACATAACCTTTAACAATAAACTGTACACCCCTACAGCATTCAGAGGGCTCAAGAACTCTTTCTTCATCTGTTTTGAGCCAATGAAGGCCGAAAGCCAAGGGAACCTTCAGCAGCGAAATATCCATGCATTTTTGCTGGGATCCTTACTAGATGACTCATTACATGATGCTTGGGGATCCTTGGGGTTGACAACAGCCCCGCAAGTAGCAACAAGCCCTGTAATACACCGGAACTTACCGGCCATCACTTTCTTGAGGCACCAAGGGTGCATGGGATGCAAAATGGCCCTTTCCATGGCCAGTCTTGGCGCAGGAGGTGAATGCCAACTGGGCTGCTGTTAAGGAACTTAATTTAATATACTATATATTCGGAAACCATATTAATAACTATATATATGTATACCCATCATAGTAACTTAAATAAAGTCCCTTAACAGCAACCCAGGAAAGCCTTCTAAGCTCCGAAGGAGCAGAACTTCGGTTGTGCCTTCCTCATGTCCCCCTTCCCTGGGCTTGTATACATGGAGAGACGCTGTATAGGGCCCAGTGTAGGTATCATGTATAAGCGTAGAGCCCCAGGGTTGGAGACTCACCCTATTAGGCTCCATGTCCGTTAATCATGGGCTCCTTGACCTAGATACCCCAAACCCTAAGGGTCCATGTGCTGAATATTTGGGTAGTCGGTATTCAGGTGCCAGTAATTCTAGGATAGGTTTTGGTTAAGTACATGATTATGGAGAACTTGGACCCTTAGGGAAACACGTTCCACAGTGTAAGGCCTAGTCCCACACTACTTAGGTACATGGAGCCGTATAGGGCTTGTTCTCTTCCCTTGGCAACCTTCTCTTGAAGAATGCAATGTACCAGAGATCCCAAAGCACAACCCAGCGACTATGAAATGCAGGCACGGGCCTCGGTTTCGGACGCGGTTATTCTGAGCCTGCCCTGGGCTAGTCCCAAGAACTGGGCCCCTGAACCCTGAACCCTATGCGCTGCACGGGCCCTTCCCACGCTTCATTGAGAGAATTTTGCGGGAGATGCTTGACTGCTCTCCGCTGGGGGCATGCACTCATTGGCCGGAAACTCGGCTGCACTCGCGCTTGTGAGATTTGAGGTTTTTCGGCTCAAGGTTAAGAGCCTCGAGTTTCTGGTGTTACGGTATGGTTTAGCATGAGCTGGGTTCGGGGTTTACGGTGTAAGGGTCGGGGAGTTGCGCTTCAGAATAATAGTTTTACGCTCGCTTGGGCCTTGGTCCGTAGGCTGCGCAATGTTGCGTGTAACACGACACTGTAGCAAGCCAGGGCTGAATTTTTGCATCGCCACACTTGCATACTTAAAGAAGGGGCCGACCGATTGGGTAGTATCTACTGTAATCCCCCTGGACCTATAACTAACAAAAATCACGTATTTGCATAATTTCTTGAGATTGTGCTACAAGACAAGTTGCAAATACCCCCCTAAGGAGACGTACTAGGAGTCTACAAGATGCCTGTCACGAGCCCCACAACTTGAAGAAGTCCTCATACCCTAAGGAAGTACCGAATAATCATACTCACCCAAAACCTATACTACAATTACTCTTAACCAAAACCCAAGTACCTACATATTGGGTACTTGGACCCTCTGGGATATTGAAGCTTTGAGTCTGAGGCCCTCATGGCCATTTGCACACACAGGTCTTTCCCAACAATCCCAAATCTATTGTGAATAATAAATACATTGGCCCTAAAGCCAGCCTATAAGCATGACCTACATTGGGCTATTTCGGGAGCCGTAATTAAGGTATAAACCCAATAAATAACCCCTAACAAAAACATCTAGATAAACCAAATGTCCCCTTGCTAACACTTGTTACCCACCTTGGGATATGTGGAGCCTTAGTGACACATGAAGGGGCACATGGCAGCCGAGGCCTCATCGTTTCGCCTTGTAATAATCCCAGAGGGTCCATGTACTCAATAATTAGGTACTTGGGATTTGGGTAATAATGATTTTGGTACAGGTTTTGGGTAAGTATATGATTGTTGGGTACTTGGACCCTTAGGGAATCGGATGCTCAGCACAGGATCTTGGCCACAAGGATCCTCAGGCTCCCAGGCTAGTAGACCAGCAACTCCTGAGGGCTGCTTCTTTATTGGCCCATGGTATGCTACTGCCCGTGACGGGAAACTCCAGGCACCTAAATAATGATCTGTTAGGTCCCACATGTGATAATCTGACGGGTTTTATTGGTACCCAAAGCCCGACTCTTCTGATGCTTGGACCCCTACCCAGACTTCAATACAGTACCCCTGTTACAAGGTACCTAGTTTTGCATTATATGGAGGATGCTAGACATAAAGTAAGGCTATGCTAAAAAAGAGGTAGGGCAAACCCAGTTCCCATGTTCCTTTCCGTTTGATCTCCAATATTGGGGTGCTTTCCCTAAGCCCCACGTAACCTCCATATACCCCTACATGTCTCAAAACTCTATATGTGGTCCCCATATATAAGGCTTGTCTAGATGGAGACACAAAGCACAAAAAAACCTGATCCTAGGGCCCAGATGTTGGCAGGATAGCAACTCTAAACCATAAACCGCACATCCACTAAGGGTCCACCTGGACCTCCGTACCCTATCCCTTTTTAAGGGTACCTCACTTTGTATCTAGACAGGTACTAGACATAAAGTTAGGTATCCTAAAACCGGGGTTGGGTATAGGGTCTAGGTAGAGTTTCCGGTTTTTGGGTTTAGGATTTGGAGGTTCAGGGTTTAGGGCAAGCATTTTCATCATCATCATCATCATCAACATCAGGGTCAAGGAATTAACGTCCTCTTGAAAATGGGCGTGACATAAATCAACGTCCAAAACTTTACCTCTCTCAGGGTTGTCCTCACCTTCGCTCAACAATACGTTCAGAGAGACCTAAATTCGAGACATCCGCATTCAAAAGCTCGGGGTTGTTGACCCAGCCTAGGTTTAGGGTTTAGGTTTACAGGGTTTAGGGTTTATAGGGTGTAGGGTTGGGATTTAGGGCTTAGGGTTTATGGGGTTTAGGGTTGGGATTCAGGTACGGGGGTGTAGAGTTTCGGGATTCAAGGGACTTTTGCCTGAAATGGGAACAATAGCAAACACGTGGCAATAGACCCTAAACCCTAGACCCTACATAGTAGTTTCCATTTTCCTTTCCATTATCCCTATATGAGCCATAGTCTAAACTCCTAGTATCGCCCTTAATAACCCCATAGTAGTCCCCTAATCCCCTATGTAACCCCCCTTTACGGAGTTTAGACTATAGTACACATAACCCTTATAAACCCCCGTCCATGGTTCCCATCAACGCCATCGCCATCCTTCTCCTTGTTGTCAGCAGCCAGGTTCCTAATAATGGTCCCTAGAGCCCGAGTATGCACATGACGGGGTGGCTTTAGGCAACACATGCTACACTGATTGGATTTGAGGACCCAAAGCCTGATTCTTAGGTACTACAGGGGCCTGATTAATTATCAATATCAGTTTGAGGTCCATCTGAGGTACCATAGACCATAGCTATCTAAGGAATATGGAACCACAATATTGGTAATTATTTAGGCCCCGAATTCTATTACTTGGGCGCTTACCGGGCTGTGGTCATCATCTTCTCGGCTGGTATGCCCCGTTAGACCCAAAAATTCCAAATTAGGACCCTATTAATTGTAGATTAAGGTACCCTCAAGGTCTAATAGCCCATAGTGGTATTGCACCCCAGCTATACCCGCAGCATTACCTAGTCCAGATTTAAACGAATGCGCCGCCCCACAGAAACTTGGCATGCCGACAGGGGATGCCCTCAAGGTCCCTTTGTCTTCATCCTCCCTATAAACCCTAGACAAATGTACTCCCAATTTAGCCCTATATGATTCTCAAATAGCTCTGAATAAGCACTACAACAACACAAGATAATCACTGCAAGAATTCCTATGATCCCTGTATAAGCCTTATACAAACCTCCTCAAAGCCCCATATGAGCCATAGTCTAACCTCCTAGTATCCCCCTTAATAACCGCTATAGTACTCCTATATATAATCCCCTATATAACCCCCTTTAAGGAGTTTAGACTATAGCTCATATAAACCTATATCGTATCTAAGTGTCCTTTCACGCTCTCTGGAACCATTCGCCAGTGTCAGCGTTGTACCAGGTTTCCCTTCCTCGGAAGAAATAAGGCTCGAGGTGTCAGGGTTTACCTAAACCCTAAACCTAAACCCTAAACCCCAGGGATCCCCAAGCTCTAAACCCTAAAATGTAGGTAATGTGTGCCGACTTATTCCCAAAGTAAGTAGCCTCTATATGCTTGGATTCATGGGGTGAGGGTCGAGGTGCATGTGCCCTACACAACTTTTTGCAAAGTAAGGGTTTTTAGGGCCCAACAGGATTCGACTTGGGTTTTGAGGGATGTTGTGGGTTATGCCTGCGCGTGCTACGTGAACTCAATAGGGTGTACCAAGAAGCTTCAACATTGCCCTTTTGAGCGTTTGTATTTTGGTCGGGCCCCACACCATCTTACCCATCAAGGAGCACATACTGTGGATGGAGGTAGTATTGCATCACCCTCGCTGCCCTGAACCCTAAACCCGAAACTTTGGGAATTATAGAATACTGGGGACTCTTCATAACGGTTTCCTACGTCCCTTCGAAGACAGTGAACAAGCATGTGCTTGGCCTGTTGTTCCGAAGCTAGACTGTGGCGGTTAAGGCTCTATAAGGTTTAGGGAAAAAGTGTGTGTAGCGTTGGGGCGGATGAGCGCTTACCAACGCCAAGAGAGTCGATCCCTTCTGTGACTAGACACTTCTTCAAGTTTGCTCTGGTGCAGTATGTCGCTACGAACAACACCAAATTGAAGCCTTGTTACAAGGCAACATACGGGTAGCCCATAACATTGAGAAAACTAGCCGTCAAGCCTTGCATGCTCCCTTTCACATCCCAGGTTGAAGCTCGCCACAGAGGAACTTTGCACCTGCTTAACATCTGCAAAAATATCGTTGGCCCCACGACCTTCGTGAGGTAAGTGCACAATATCTTCCATAAATGCACAATAGAAATTGGAAGGAAGGAACATCAGCACCCCCCCTTCTGGCAAGAACAAGGAAAAGTGCGGTGCATTCTGTTTCAATGTTTCAGCCTTTTGGCTTTTACTGCCGCGCTAAACCAACACGAAACACTAACCCCACCCTAAACCCTAATACCCTAATGCCCTCACCCCAAACCCTTAACCCTTTTACCCTGGGTTGGGCCCTCAAACCCTTTGAACAAATATTAGCATATAGGGCCCCTTATTAAAGCCATTAGGGAAAATATCAAATATCCCAGGGGCCTACCCAGTACCCTAACCCTAAACCTTTATCCGCCAAGTTGCCGTGTTTATCGGAATGTATTTGCCATGTCGTGCCAGGGTCGGACTCCCAGAACGCTTCTGCCTGCAGCTGAACTCTTGGGCTCCCATCCCAGCCTCTGAAAACTGCCCAAAGGGTCCATGTAGGTATATGGTATATACTTAGGGCCCAAAGGGGTTCCCATATACCTACTTTAAGGGCTAAGTGTATACCATATAGCGACATGGACCCTTTGGGTGGAACAACAGATGCAACATGACATGGAAACAGAGGTTCTACGGGAGCTATAATTATGGAGATCTGAGTGTAAAAATGCTACCTACTTGGGCCCTAAAGTTTTTGAAATGTTATCTACGTTGGGCCATTTGGAGCCCTAGCTGGAGGTTTAGGGTCTGGAAAGGCACGGAGGCATCAGATATGGGAGTGTGGCAAAAAGAGGGCTGGGATCCTCTGGCTTTGGCCCCTAAAGCCTAAACTGGCCTTTGGTTAGCCGGGAATGGAAAAGAAAATGGAAACTACCCCAGGGTTTAGGGTTCAGGGTTTAGGGTTTAGGGTGGGAATGAAGGAATGGAAAAAACAAGGGAAACTACTGTAATGGGTTAAGGGTCCATTCGCCATTCCTAGCTAACCCTAAACCCTAAACCCTAGATCGCCATCCGGGTAGGCAAGGAGGTTGCAGTTTTGAAGGCTTTAGAGACTGGAAATACAGGGCATGCATTTAAGAGATCGTGGAAACCCTGCATTGGATAAGAATTCAGGGTTTAAGGATTTAGGGGGTTCCCAAATGCTAGGGGTACCTTTTTGAAGGTCTCTACAATATATAATATTTGGGGGGTCTATATTGGGGTCGCCCTAATTTGGGTAAGTGCCAAATTTATGTGTATATATATATATATAGACGAATATGAATATTATATGATATGAATATTGCATGAAATCTCTTCAGGGCCAGTAAGCGCGAAGCCTGAGCCCCCTACTGCTGGGTGATGTTCTCAGAAAACCAACTCTCATACTTACGAAAAGATGTCAGCCAAGCAATTCTCGAAAGGGCATCCGGTCCGCCCTTTTCTAGAGAAAGCAGGTATGCAGTATACTTCCGTTTATACCTCAGCAGGCTAGCATCCACGTATGCTATGTTTGGGTGCTACAGTACACGGGCCGCAATGTTTGAAACTGGCCTGTTTGGTTCCCGCATACTGTGACATGAGCCGGGTGCAGGGGGCAAGTCGTCACAATTATACGTAATGTAATCAACATTGATGAGTTATGATCATGTTTGTCCAGCTTTGGTGTGTTCTGGAGGTTGAAATCCAATTCTTCCGTTCGGTGGGCGAGAATTTGAGGGCTTGATGTGGAGGATTAGCGGCAGGGATTAACCCAAATAAACTGATGCACAACCTCCCTCGATTTCATTTCCCATGTACTTAGTTCTCGGTCTGTTATTGTACTAATATCCTGAATCCTCACAGGCACTAAACCCTATAACAGCTCTCTAAATCCCTATAGCAGAACCCTATATAACCCTACATCCCTTTTAAAGGGACCCTTATTTTCTGGAGACCAATCTAAGACAAGTTTGTGGCAATGGCAGACATTTGTGAAAATAATGCCCATTACTTGTGGACAGGGTCCAGGTACCCAAATGGTATATACTTAGGCTCCAACTTGCTGAGATAGGAACCTCTTTGACCCCATGTAACTGCTATATTAGTAGCTGGACTCTGGTGGGTCTACTGATTTGCATACCTAGACCTCCAAAACGGGTAAAACAATAGCCCCAGGTCGATAAAAAATGTCAGAACCTCTCCACCTACAAATCAAACGTAACTCTTCAAGCGCGCGGAAGTCCCTGGCACCATTGAGGACTCCCAAATTCGTCGTATGAAGCCATCTTCTGGTTTAGGGCTTTATAGACCCTTACCCAAAGGGGCCATGTATCTATATGGTATGTCACCTATGGCTGCCTTGGGCCCATGTATATACCATACAGCTACATGGACCCTTTGGGCTAATTATACCCTAGCCTTTTTAGGGTATTTAACTTGGTGCCCTAAGGGTCCAAGTACCTAATAATCATATACTTCCCCAAGACCTGTACTGTAATGCAATTACCTGAAACCCAAATACCTGACTATTGGGGTACTTGGACCCTCTGAAATAAATCGAAAATACCGGGATATACGAGGTCAGGTTGGGTTTTGGGTAGCCGTTGAAGCCAAAAATGGTTTAGGGCAAAATTTCTGAGCTCATGGATCAGACCCCCAATCCTTCCATCCGTGGCAAAACCTCTCCTCTTCCCCTATGGCAAGGTAGTTCGAGCATGCTCTCACTAGAATAGCGAAATTCTCCAGCCAGGACCGCCGCAAACAATTTGGAACTATGAGGACGTAACGTTTGCAAGTGATTGAAGCGTAGGTTCAATTCAAGAGATTCGAAGTTTGGTTGTTGGTTAAGTAAAGCAGTAGCCGGTTGTTCGACATGGAGGGATGCTTGAAAATGTACAATGTGGACCATTAACAATTAACAGCCAAAGTCGCAATAATGATGCACATCTACCTGCGAGTTGAAGAGACTTTAGTGTCCGATGAGCCTAATACTCATAGTCATATACTTCTCTATTGGGTACTTGGACCCTACACCCTCTATGTCCCTTTGAAGCGACCTTATTCTTGGGTACTTGGATCCTTAGGGAGAGGACTGCAATGAAAGTATGACGCGCCATGTCTCGGAGTCAGAAGAGCAGGCCGAACTCATCTTCATAGGGTTTAATGGGTCGGTTTAGGGTTTGGGGTTTGGGGTTTAAGGGTTTGGGGTCCTCCAATACTCATGGGCGTCCTGATGTTCACTTCACATTAAGAACTACCGCCCACATTTTTAAAATCCAACCGCCGGAACACAACCATAGCAACCTCCACATTTATAAAATTCCAAAAAATGGTTGCCTCTTTTTTTTTTCGGGACAACGAATTTAACTAGGTTTAACTAACTTCAAACAGGCTTTCAAACCTACCTTCTGGGCATTCTTATTCCGAGGCTTCCCCAGAACGGAGATATATCAATCGAGCGGGTAGGGGGGAGGGGGCGGGATTTATTAATGCCAAGAGAAAATTACTAGCGCCCCCATACTCCCCTCTAGGTTTGCCATAATTAACTTGAATTGGCTTTAGTTGGTTATCAACCTTAAGTAAAAGGGAACCTAGGTGGGGGCAGTATAGGAGGGGGTGGACCCCGAACAGGGAACCCCCAAAGTATGTAGTAGGAATGTAATCGGACTACAAGGATCAGAAAGTATAATAGGACTACAAGGATCAGAAAGTACAATATTCCTACTATATGCACGGAGCTCCCTGTTTGGGAGTTGAAGCCCGTTTAGTGTAGGGGGTCCTCCAGCTCAACGCATCTGTATGACCTTGCGTATGCTCTGGAGCGGGAATGGCTGATGAATTGATGAACGAAAGAACCCTGCATGACCCGCTCAAGGACAATAGAACTGGAGGCCTTGGGTGCATATGGGCATGCAAGGTTTGGTCTCTCCACGGCAGGCTAGCTACACAAACGCCACATTGCTTACCAAGCCACAGTTGCATTACTTCTCGTGCCGCTGCTTGTCCTGACCCCTACGGCCCGTTCAAACTCCAGCACATCCCTTCATCTAGCTTTGCACCCAAAGCCCGAAAGTGGTCCAAACCTGGTCCCTACTGCCGAACCCCATGACCTCAAAACCTGTCGACCTTTCAAACGTAAAGCCATCGGACGAGAAAAGATATCCTCGTGTGGTCCCCGCACAACCCCTGTGCAGTACATATGTGGATGTTTCCTAGCATCATACTCGACGTAAACATGCCCGACGAGAACCTTACCCAGAGACCAGGAATGTTGGGAGCTTCCCATACTCTCTCTATGCAATCCTAGTATGACCTATCTTTATTCCCGATTGACCACCAGGCTCTTAGCCTTGATCCCAAGCTGCATGCCTCAACACTGCTTTGTACGCTTGCTAGTAATGGGGCATGGCGATTTCAGAAGCCTGCAATGAGGCATTGATGACGTAGATTTGGGGTGAGACCGGGTGCTATACTTTGCCCAGCTAGTATTCTGCGACCCTCGAATCGCCTACCTACTAGAACGAAACCGCTACACCCCAAACAAAAAAATGCAAGCCCCTAAGCTATTATCATAAACCCTTTAACCCTATCAAGCGTAAACTCCCCGACCCCAATGCCTCCCTGTCTTGGGGGGCCCATCGAACCGAGAAGGGGTCGTCTGGATTCTCCTTGGCGGAGCGGGCATGTACCCTCCTTGCAACTCACAGTGCACCTTCAAAGCCCAAAAATCTTTTCTCACGGACACACCCTAAACCCTAAACCCTAAATCCTAAACCCTAAATCCTAAACCCTAAACCCTAAACCCTTCCAAATGTTTTTTGGGGGAGGCAGAATTGCCGGACAAGACCTACGACTACAAGGAACCCCCCTTCCAGAGGACCTGTTACATGTCGTGCGAACCCAATGTAGCGAGACAAGGGGCTTGGGGAACCGTAATGTAGACCCATGATTAATAAACCTCCTCCTTTTAAGGGCCTTAATATGAGGATCCCTATTATAATCCCTATTAAGGGGAGGGGTTTTATTGATCATGGCTCTACATTACTGTTGATGGAAGAAGTCCGGCCTAACCGTCAGGTGCCCTCCACTCTCGGAATATTGCACGTGCCTTGCCGAAGGCCTTGCTAGATGTTGCCCAGCAACATTGAAACCACAATAAAAGCTAGTCTTTCTGGCCCGCTTCGCGCACATGGTAGAGTTTTACTGCGTTTGGTGCATGCAGCTTCCCCCTCCAAGAGATATTCAATGACTGTTCTCCCAGTCTAACCCCCGCAAGATGCTAGATATGGGGTGGATAGAAATAGCGACTACATTTCGTTCAAGCTCCACCTACTTCCGATGGACTCAATGCCAAACAACCGGGACAAGTCCCCGAGCCATTTCCTTTGGTCCGAAGACGGTGTGGGTCCACCGATGCCGTGGCAAGCGGTAAGTAAAATCTGTCTTGCGTGTTGCCCTTTGAAACCTCCACTTTACTGATACTGTCTAAACCTAACAATTGCAAGCTTTCAGGAAAGTCACAAGATCTGCAGCACGCATGTAACTCCTGCTCCAACACAACTTCCGAAAGTAATACAGCCCTCACCCCATGGGTACAACAAACAGATCCCTAGAACTTTGAGAAAACATAAGCCAAACTAGGAGCCACCTGTCCCTGCATTCTGCACAGCCCCCTTGTCATCACACTAGACCCCCCGCTCAGGGGTCTATCTATCAAGAAGTTGAGAAGTTGAAATGGTGTATCACTTAGTCAGCTCATCCTCTTAAGCACCCTCAGGGGCGAGCCAATGGAACACGCTGCTTCGGACAGCGGTGGATGTGAATAGAGGGTGCCTAACCCTGCTGACCCTGACGCCAGTACCAATTAGGCAAATAACACTTCAAGCAACAAGGCTATGTAGGGGTATGTATCTAAAGGTAGACGGTTCAGGGTTTAGGGGCTATATCGGGCTAAAATAAGGCTAAGCAGGACGTACACTGCCAAGCAGCTGTACGAATCCAAATCCGGAAATCGGATGACTCGATCCTGGTCATCTTGGTGCCGCCCTCCGATGCCATGTTTCTTGGCCGTGCCGGACTTGCCTGGATGCAAGGTTTTGAGTTTACAGCAACATTTAGTGTTGGTCGATCCTGGTTTGCATGCCCGTTTCCGACGACATTGCTTCTTTTCGGATATGGAAAAGGTCTGGCCTATGTATGGATTTTATGCGTTTGCAGACATGAAAAAGTTCGTGAACTCTATCCAATAATGCCCAAGTGGCCATCGACAGAACGGCAGCAGAGGATGCCTCACGAGCCGCACGAACAGCTTGTTTTGCTTCAGGACTTAGGATTTTGGGCTTAGGGTTTCAATAAGGTTGAAAGCAAGCACGTGGGGATTGTGCAGGATTAGATGCACATTCCGGAATGAGGGTCATTATGAAAACCTCGCACTCGGTTGGACAACTCTGGGGTGCTTGAGGGTTCAGACCTTCTTAAACAAGTAAGGTTTACTTCACATGAGGTTTTAGCACTTGGGCAAGCTTTCTGTCAATTTTACGTGTTGCGTCGCCGGAGGAACCTCGCCTTTGACTCTCCGACTGCGATCAAGCAGGTGCCGATGCTGCTTTATGGAAAGTTGTAACCCTAAGGCTCAAAATAGCTCAGAAGCCTAGTATACTATGGTCTTTCGGCACAAAAGCCGCAAAATATTAGTCCTTAGAGCCTTAGGGTAAGAGAAAACACTATGCTCCGAAACCATGAAGCAGCCTGTACCTAGACCCTTTTACCCTACCCCTGCTTAAGTTACCTAACTTGATGTCTAGTATGCTTTATATACAACATTGGTTACCCTAAAAAAGGGGTCGGGTTTAAGGGTCTAAGTAGATAACGCAGACAGGAAAGAGATTCCACCGCATCTTGGAAGAATGATGCGGCCTTTTCGATTTAAGCACCAAACGTAACTTTGTACCCAAAGTTTAGAAACCCCTCGAGTAACTAGATACTTATATAAAAAGGTAAAGGCACGAAACTGTAAGGTACGAAGCCATCTTATTTGGCATATAGAGGTGACTCTAGGTTTGGACCCTCCAAAAAGCTCCATAGTCTTTTTTGCCAACTCCAAGTCAGGGCTGCTCTTTGTGACTCACAAACCTAATGTTGATACCAAAATTCTTGCATGACCCCCAGTATACTAGAGTACCATACTTCCCAATGTTTGAGGTACTTAGGGTCTTGCAGAATTTCTGGTATCCGTCATAGGGTTTAAGGTCTAGTGCGTCTAGAGGGTCTGGTCTGCATCGAATTTTACTTGGAGGAGCACTTAGCGTTTTGTGGAATTGCCCAGCATGCGCGTCTGCATGTTGTCACAGTAGTTGACAAGTCGTGGCAGGCCGGCAAAAACCTAAACACCGACTGGAGGAAGAGACATTTGAAGTTTGTGCCTTGAAAGTCTGTTAGAATTTAGTTCTTCCCCCCTAAACCCCACCTTCCCATCATTTATTTACTACGTCTTCGTAGGGAATAAGGTACGTAATCCCCATATGACCCCTACTAAGTCCCAGTGAGTTCAGGCCCAAGCCTCGGAGGCCGGAGCACGAGGAACCGGAGCAGTAGGGGGAGGAGGCGGCGGAGGCGGTGGCACCTGGCACGATGACACAAAGGTTGCGTTATGTAGATTTAGGGCTTATACCCAAAGGGTCCATGTATCTATATGGTATATATAGGTACTACCCAGACAGCTACATGGACTCATTGGGTTATAGGGTTTAGATGTGTTTGACAATCAGAAGATATTGGAATTGTGTCGGGTTTCGGGCCTAGGGCCTACAAGGTTTAAGATTGTGGGCCTTGCTATAGCGAACTTAACCGGAGAACCACATGGGAGAAGAACATGGGCAATGACATGGTGACCGTCAGCCACTCTCAACTCCTGGCATTCCACTTAACAACTGCTATAATCTCCCCCTATACAACTCCCTCTAAGGACTTTAGACTAAACCCCAATGAAATGAAACCATGACTTTGGAAAACACGCAGGGGACAAGCGCGGTAACACTTCCTGGTAAGGCTCCTGAGAAATCCGCACATCGGTAATTGTTCCCTGTAGAACTGTGTTATCACCCACTTGCAGTGACATTTGGGGACTTAGGGCGCCTATCATTGGGTTTTAAGGACAGTGTTAAGTAGGTAATTATGAAGAACCCTGAACCTCCAAAGTCAAGGCTTCAAGCCCTATACCGAGCAAGCCTAGACTTTGAGACCCAACCCCATACGCACTCGACCCGGTACCTCCTTCTTGAACATCTATCCATAAGCGGGAAAATTTCTAAGAAGAGTCAAAGGCTTTGGGGCTAGGCTGTAACGTTTACAGCTTACTCTGAAATTATGTCACCCAATCCTGCACCCGCCTAAAAAGAATCCCTCATACCCAAACCTCTGAACACCAGCCTGAACCGTGTGAGGAAGAGGGTTTGGGCATTCAAGCTTTATACCATTGCTTTGCCCACTTCTGACCTTGTACCCCACTATCCTCATGTGGCAAACATACACGAAGGTCAGCGTAAACTTAAGTTATCTTAAGTTCACAAGACAGAGGCAAGCTAAAATTCTACCACAGTAGTTGCTGGCCAACGCCTCCAACCATACTTACCAAAACCTCGGACCCTAAGTGGAGGATCGTGGTACTGCTAGAATCTCTCCCCCTCAATATTTTAGGCACCCTAATATTAAATAAGAAATTCAGCGGTCAAAATTCTTGAAAATCACGGTTACAAGAGGAGGACTACTTTCAAAAGGGGCCACCAATCATGAAGTAGGGGTTAGACAATAGTCAAAAAATGCGTAACTGATTAATTAGTTAGATAGCCATCGAACTACTTATTATCTGTCAATAATTGATTTACATAATTACTTGATTAATGTTGGATCCTGATTAGTGTAGGGGAGCCCCCGCCCCCCCAAACAAATCTGGACATCTGGGTCCCTCTTTAATAGAGGGGGGGGGTGCCCCCCAAACAATCCATGGTTTTTCGGTTTTGATTAAAATTCAATAGGATGGATCAGGATCGGCTCGGATCCTAGGTTAGAATTAAATTCAAATAGGATGGATCAGGATCGGCTCGGATCCTAGGTGTAAATTAAACTCAATAGGATGGATCAGGATCCGCTCGGATCTGAGGGTTAAATTAAATTCAATAGGATGGATCAG